GTCTGCTCCAAGAGCTCTTAAACAGGTGATTGAGCCGCTTTCACTCTTTTGCTCCACATCCTGCAAGAAGCAACTAGGACAGGTGAGTACCTTTACAAGTTCTCATTTCACATATGTTTAGGTTATTGATAAATGATTAACTGCAAGCAGCTCTAACTTTGGCTCTTCTCAGACACAGGTAGGATGGCCAGTCCCACTGTCTCTTTTCCGTTATAAACTGTCAATTTAATCGTATGTCAAATAACCTAATAAAAGACTCCATAAGAACTAATGTGTTTTCTTTATTACCGTATTTTAAATTCCTAATCCAACAATTAATCACTAACAACACCAACCAGGTAATGGAACCCCTGGTCTCCATTACAAACTCACTCACCTCATTCTTCAGATACCAATTTTACCAATCCCTGTAATAAGGGCAAAATGATCACATTTCAACTTCCAGACCTAAATAATTTCATTCCTGTGCCCTGTAAATCTCAGCCTGACAGTTTAGCAGTTATTGGCCTTCTTAACTGCAGATCTTTGTCCAATAAATCTTTTACTCTAAACTATTTCCTTATTTTTTTTGTATTAAGCAGATTTGGCTGGGGATTGCTGCCCCCTTGTGGAACTTTGTCCACCCAACAATTTTTAAAGAATTAGTTTGGTCCATTGTTTATCAGCAGCCTCCTAAATCCCCCTCTGAATTCTCAAAGTTCTGAAATCTGCTTTCATCTGATCTTACATTTAATCTAATTCTTCTAATTGTGCAGCTCTTGATAATGTGGCCTCCTTAAAATCCAAATTTGCTCCAGTCGTTCTTTTACCTTGGATCAATGATCATATTTGTCATCATAGATGAGAGAGCAGAAAAGCTGAACCTAGATGGAAAAAACCTCTATGTGGGCTACCAGCACACAAAGTAGTTATTAACCTCGTTCAACTGACTTAAAAGATGCAAGAATATCCCGTTTCTCTGGCTTGATTAGCAATAAGAGGCACAATCATCAGTTCCTGTTTAACACCAGACCCTGTCGATGGTGTTAAACTGGTGTTGAACAGTTCAAGCTGACTGATTTTTTGTTTTGACAGCCATTAAGCAAAGACGCGATGATCATTTATGTCTGTTTATTCAACATGCCAAGTATTTGTCTTTCTGTGCAAGAAAAGCCTACACACAGTGTGATACAATTTTCTATATGCATTCAACCTATAATGTGAGAAAATTAATATCAGAAGTTCCCTTCGGGTGCTGCAGTGTCTTTAGAGTCCAAAGGCATGCAAGTTGCCTGAAGTATACATTTTCTAATGGTGCATCAAAATTACATTTCAACCAGGGATGCGGAGTTATTATCTATCATCTGGGTGCATGCCAGATTACTTAAACAGCCACTGTCATCTGTTAACTTAAAAGAAAAAGCATTGACTACAGGCCCATTTCCAAACTTCTAATAATTTTTAAAATCCTCAAAAGCTGTGGGCCCATCAGTTACTTGGACTGGTTGAGGGCAAAAACACATTTTCATATATATTCCAGTCAAATCATTGATCATACCATTCACTCTGACAGACTGGAGTTGGATTGGTTTCTCTGACACTTCTTTAAAAAGACGTTTCATCATATTTATCAAATATTTCAGAAATCATATTAATAAATGGATAGCCTCATCTGTGACCCTCGGGGATGAATTTCTGGACACATTCTTTGTATGCATTTCTTACATTACTATGCAGACAGTATGCAGTTATTCTTTTCTGTTAAGACACAGATTAGATTACTGACACTAGATTACTGCAGCTCATGTTAAACTGAACAAAGCACTAATTACCCGATTTCATCTGGTTCTGCTGGACCCCTGACTAGTAGCTGGAAATCTGTTTCCATTTTGCATATTAAATGTTATAAGTGACTCCCTGCGATCCATAAGATCATTTTATTGTTTATACATGCAGATTGTTTTATACATGATTTTTTTAAATTGTCTAATTATATTTTTTGTCC